GGGGGGGGGGGAGGGGGTCAGGAGGGATTAGCTGACATAGACAAGCCAGATGTAAATGCAGCTGCACAGGCGGGGTGCGGTCAAAGGCCCATACGACCACCAGGCAAAGCAGTAAAGCAGCGATAAGCAGTAAGGGGAAGGAGCGCAGGCGCCAGACTCCCCAGCGGGGTCCCCCGGACCCCTCACCTCCTCAGGGCACAGTTCATGAGTGCAGCTCATAAAGTGGGTGCAGAGCAGGGGGAAGGCGATGGAGTGGCGGGACTGAGAGGGCAGCTCCAGGCACTGCTGGAACATCCTCTCAAATGCACGGCTGTAGAAGCTGACAAAACACAGCAGACGGGGCAGAAGGAGAGGTAAACTGCCTGCGGAGAAGCGGCGCTGAGGAACAATGTGCCCCCTGTTGGCCGGCTGTCACACCTACCAGAATATGGAGAGGTCAGAGGTTTCCACTAGCATTTCCACCAGCGAGTCCACCATCTTGGTGTGGAATATGATGGTGTTCATCATCTTGCCCAGGTCACGGTGGTCTGCGATTCCCAGTGTGGCTTTTGAAACACTTGTGTAGGCCTGGTAAGGAGAGCTCCATGAGGACACATGAAGGTGTGTCTCCTGCGTGAGCACCTCCAGAACTGTCACCCTTTTGGAGACCATGTGTATCTTGTGATAGAGAAGCAGGAGGGCTCGCACAGGCACCTGAGCTTCCTGGCTAGGTTCAGCTCCTTCAGAGTCTACAATAGCAGATAATATCCTCCATTCCATACTTTGGTGAGGCAACAAACTCAAGTGATCAGAAAGGTTGCTTCTGTTTTGGAGGCTGAGCCGGCCTCCCTGTGGGGAATACAGGCCTCTGTCTTAGCAGGGAAACACCAGGTACCAGTCTCAATATCAGTGGCAGACACTTGAGAAATTACTCAGCATCCGGGACAGTGCTTCACACCCCCAGAGTGACACTGTGGGCCAAAAGAGGAGTGCCTTCTGCAGGGAACTCCTGACCTCTCACCCCCAATTGGCACACAGGACGTTTCTCACATGAATAGTGCTTTTTATGCTCCTGTTGTATCCTATTGTACTGTATGAATTCAATGAGTTCAATTTTAGGACCACTATTGTTCCTAATTTACATAAATGATATAGACACCAATATATACAG